CACACACACACACACACACACACACACACACACACACACACACACACACACTCACACTCGTATACATAAATGCAAATCTCTGCTGCAATAATCTAGTTAAAGCAGCCAAGCTGAAGACACATCACAGCATCGGGATTCTGCTTATGAGTCTCTTTATCCAACTTAATCGGGTACAAGCATCGTAAATCAGCAGCCTTAGCAATTACTCTCTACTTTGCAACTTGTGCAGCCAAAGAGCACAAAGCTACGTTGTAATGTTGTCTTGGAATGAACATATTGCTGGTTACGATGAAATTACAGTACAACCTCCTTAATGAAAAATATATTAAGCAGAATCCATTCTTTATGAGTCCAGAGTGAGAATGCACAGAGCAAGTTCCATTTTTATTGGGCGAGTTTCCCATTTCTCAGCTTTTAGCCTTCCTTGGAGTCTGTGCATCTGCATGCTTTATCTCCTGTGTTGTTTTGTCACACCTTATAGACTACTACAGACTACTATGTCTTTTAATGTAGTACACATTTCTGCAAAATCTACTGAGACAAAGGTTTACTCAAAAAAATCTATTTGGGTAAATCCAGAAAATAAAATCGCCTGACCATCCATCTGTCCATCCATCCAGCCATCAACTTAACAGCTGGTACAAATGGTTGTGCTCATTTACATGCTACATGTTACTAGTGAGTTTTCCTCATACCATGGTAACATTATTAGATCCTCAAGAAAAGTAATAAGACAGCCTTCTTCATTCTAAATCGAAGCCTTTTAGTGCATTCACCTTCAATTTAAATCCAGGTCTTGTCAGTGCATACCCTTTTTTTTCTTTCCCTCTTTTAATTCTCGCTGCCAGATTAATGCAGGAAGCAGCAGCAGAGTGGCTGAGCACTCTGTTCTACTAATTGAATATGCTTTAGTGCCAATAAGGACTAGCAAACCTGAATTAACCCCACATTCAGCCAGCTCCATATGATCGCGAATGCAGATAAAGCCACGGTTTCTGAAGCCTTATTGGGACCGCCGTGTCTCACAGTGTTTCTAAATGCATGTAATAAGCGAAGTGGTTTCATATTGCCTGATTGAGCTCTGCACCAGCAATGAGTCCACGAAAGAGGAATTGGGAGGGGTGTGTGGAGGAGTAGCAAACTCATACAGCAGGTAATCTCACTGAATGGTTTTGCGGTTATTGAAGGGATCGCTGTGCTTTTCAGCAGGGTTAAAGTGATGCTTCTCTCTGTCCAGATTTTCTGCTGTTGCCATGGATTCCACAGGAGACAACTGGGCTGTGCTCACTTTTATCTACAGTACGAGTTCTAAGAAGCCTACAAAATACATGTAAGCATAGGTTTGCTCATGCATACACATTAACACTTTCAAATCCTCCTTCTTACACAGTAGATTCTTAATAAGGGTGTGAGTTACACGCAAATAACTAAAATCAACTTAAATCCATGAGTCATAAAAAGCTAAATTCCTGACTAGCCATCTAAATGCCAGTTACAACAAGCTAAATATGGTAATTTTCCCCAGTCACATCTACTTGAACAAGAACAAGCCCACTCATTTTCTCCCCTACTGCTGCCCTGCCCTGTGCAATTCATCACTGACAGCTTGACTCATGGA